CTGGTGATACGTTTTTCTCCCATCAGTCCAGGTTGGACATGGTGGAATTTTTTATATGCAATTCAGAACTGTTGTCAGCTTATGATTTTTCCTTATTCCTTTTTATTCTTCTGGAGTTTTCATTATTCATATACCAGGTTTTCTTGGATCTATTCTAAAATTTCTTCTTTCCTCTTATTTGTTATTTTTTAACTTTTTCCAGAGCTTTAAAATATTTCTACCAGTTAATCTCCTACACCAATAAACTTACCAGTGATTATCCTGTCTTCGTTTTATCCTTTTTTAGTTAAAATGTTGTGACTTAGATTTTTTAGTAATAATAATATTTGAATACATGTAAAAGTACAGAGAATAGTGTATGAGTTTTACTTAATAGTGTAATAATTCAATTACAAGTATCAGCAATCTTCCTACCATCTAATTTCAATATTATGAACTTGTTTTATATCTACTTTTACCCACTTTTCCACTCTATCCCCATATTATTTTGAAACAGATCCAAGACATCATATAATTTTATCCTGCAGTAATTTAAATAACTGCATAAATCTGTCAAAAACAGTTCTTTAAAACACAGAACTAGAAAGGAGGAGAAAAGACCTGAAAAAAAAAAAAAACCACAGAACTAGAATTACCTGTGGAATATGAGAAGTACAAGTTTTCTTTTGGAGACAATGTAAATATTTTGGAACTAGATAGAGAAAGCAGTTGTACAACATTGTAAATGTACTGAATCCCCCTAAATTGTTCACTTGAAACACTTTTAACTACCTTAACCTCAATTAAAGAAGAATTAAACTCTTAAGTAAAAAAAAAAAAATACCACCTGAAGGAAAAAAATAATCACAGTGCCATTTTTTATATTTAAACAAAAGTACCGTCAAAAATGTATTTACTAGCAGGGCCTCCCTGGTGGCCTAAATGTTAACACCACGATGGCCCATCAAATGGCTTGAGTTCAATCCCTGGCCAGGCAGCTGGCTGCCCACATGGCACAGCAGATCTTCCCTATCTTACCCGCTGCTCCCCTCAGTAGTATATTTTAGTCAGTCTGCCTGTTCTTCTCTCCACTCTGTCTCTGGTGAATCCTCTCACCTCCTGCACCTCTGGCCTATATCCCAGTTCTTTTACACAAACTAAATTTTAAAAAATAACAATCTTACAATGAAGGAATAATTGTTTAAATGTATGTATATATACATATATTTATGCTGTGCTTGAATCTCCTGAGTACTTTTTTTTAAATATGTGTGCATGTATTATAAACAGCTATTGTCTTTCTCCTCCAACAGTTTTATTTTGCTGAGTGTGAATTCTCTTCGTTCAGATCAATCCTCTCTCTCCCTGCTGGACCCCTTTTCTAGGCTTATTTAGACTCAGATATAGATGATGTCAACTGCTTGATTTTAGACATCTACATAGTGATAGAATCAAAGCTGTCTTTACTTTATGGAGCTAGAGAAGCAGGTGACTGCCAGTTTCCTGCATGCCTTATAATGTACAAGTAGTCCTCTCCAGCTTTGGGCAGAGAGGGTTCTTGAACTTTTGTCTTCTTGAACTTTCAGGTGTAGGAAGACAAGGCAAGAGTAAATACCAGCTCCTTCCCCCCAGGAGTCCACCAGTCTCTGCTGACTACATTCTTTGTCAGGTCCACCAACTGTCTTGATCTATGACCCTCTTTTCAGGTTGCTTGACACTGGAGAGCTGTTGACCAAGGAAGGACCATAGATAGGACATGCTAGATGAGCTGTATAGATTATTAAGTTCAGTGAAGGAAGAATTAGGTCTCTGTGGAACTGAGCTAGGTTGGGTGAAGAATAGTATCTTCATCAAATGGTCCTGGGGCTGCAGGATATCCACATGCAAAAGAATTAGATTGGAATTCTATTTTACCCTACATACAAACATTAATTCAAAATTAGGCAATTTGAATATAGGGGCTAAAACCTTAAATTCTTATAAGAATCAGTAGGAACCCTCATAACTTGACAATGGCTGTAGATTCTCAGATGATTATATCAAAAGGAGGAACAACAAAAGAAAAAAAAGATAAATTTCACATCATCAAAATTAAACATTTCTGTACATCAAGAGACACTATCAAGAAAGTTAAAGACAACCTACAAAGAAGAGAAAATATTTTCAAAATCTGCTGAATTCCAAATGTCATACTTTTTGAAAAAGCTTTTATAACTCTCAGTCTCAAACTCTATACTCCAGTACTGCTGTTGAAATATATATGTTTTCTAGTTCCCATAATCTTGAGTTATGGATAAATAAATTGATTGGTAGACAGGTAGAGAGATAGATTATATAGATAAATAGATATCCAAATGTTAGGACATTTTATGATCTCAATAATTTTTATTTTGGAATTGAACTTTTATTAAATTTGTCTAACTCTGCACTACAGTTTATTCTCAGTGCTCTTAAGAATTCTCCGAATAATTTTTCTAACCTTTAAAAAAGAAAGTCTAATACCTAGGGCCTCCCTGGTGGTGCAAGGGGTTACGTTTCAGTGCTATCAAGCTATGGCCAGCATGCAGCACAAGTTTGATCCTCAGCCAGTGAGCTGACCCACAGCAGACCTCTCCTGTCTCGCTCTTGGCCCATCAGCAGTGTTTCAGTCATCTGCCTATTCTGCTCCCCATTCTGTCTCTGGTAAATTCTCTTGCCCCACCCCTCACTTCTGGCATGTACCCCAGTCCTTGTATGCATAAATAAATAAAATCTTTTTTAAAAGAACTGAAAACAAATAAGTATACATGCTATGCATAGAAGCAACATTCACAATAACTAAAAAGGTGGAATCAATCCGCATGTCCAACAGATGAAAGGGTAAATAAAATGTGACATATACAGTGGAATATTATTTGGTCATAAATAGGAATGAAATACTGCTGCATGTTACAACACAGATGAACTTTAAAACATGATTTTTTTCCTTAAATTGTGATAAGTGAAAGTCATGCATAAAAGTCACATTTATGTGATTTCATTTATATGAAATATCCAGATTAGCTAAATCCATCAAGAACGAAAGCAGATTGGTTGTTTTGGAGACAAGAGAGGAAATAAATGGGGCAGGATTTCCTTTTAGGATAATCAGATGTTTTGGAACTGGATGGAGATGGTGGTTGCATAACATTATGAACATTAAATACCACTGAGTTATTCATTCTGAAATTGTTAGTTTTATGGTTAAAAAAGTAAAAGACAGCCTCACTGGGTACATGAAATCATTGAGTGAACAGAGCAGTTAGGAGAGCATTTAAGGTAGAAAGTAAGTACAAGTAAAAATAGAGTCCAGGAAACATTTGAGCTGGGAGTAGCTGACAGGGGACTTGGGGAAACCATGAGGGCCCCAGTTTATATTTGAGTTGTTGCTATTACACAGAGGCAGCTAAGCTTAAGGCATGAGGCAGTAGAGAATCTGAGTGACTTTTGACCAGGACAGGAACATTATGAAAATAGGTAATTGAAATGTCAGCATGTACATGGAGAATTGAACTAGGGAAGCCAGGGATTTAGTGACCGATGCAGACGCCATCAACAGTGAACACATCTGGGGTCACTTGTTATGCCCTGGACTAGACAGAAAGCAGTAGGAATAACAACTACACTTAGCACTCATGACATGCCAGGCACTGTTCTGTGTGCTTTGTATGTTTTAATTTACTTAATCCTCTGGGAATTCTGTAAACTCTTCTTTTCCTTCAGTGTACAAACATAACAAGCTCAGAGTAGCTGAAAAACTGGTCTGCCTTTTCAGCTGTTAACATGCTTAAAATTGAATCCTCATGTGACCCCAGAGCCACTGTAGTTTTAATTCTGAGCGGAGGTAAATGTGAGATTTTTTTTTTGAAGATTTATTTATTTGTGCATACAGAACTGGGGTACAAGCCAGAGGCGCAGGGGTGTTGAGAGGATTCACCAGAGACAGAGTGGGGAGCAGAACAGGCTGACTGATGAAGAACACTGCTGAGGGGAGCAGCGGGAGGGTCAGCAGAGGTCTGCCACGCCATGTGGATCACCTCCTGGGTAGGCAGGGATCGAACTCATGCGGAAGTGGCTTTAGCTTGTTAGCACTGTGCTTTAACCCGCTGCGCCACCACTAACGTGTTAGGTAGACAAGAGGGAAATGGGAGGAAGGCAACTAGAGTAAGGACATTGTCCCCCTCTGTAACCAAGAGATGATGCTGATGGGTCTCCCAGTAGAAATGGTGAATACTGACGTGCCTGTTCCCCAGAGTTCATGGCTGCAGACATAGCTCTAGAGGCGGCTGGCAACTGATCTTAGAGGGGAAGGAGATCTGGGAGAGCAGTGTGGTTAGTGGGCAGGGCCTCTTTCTGGGCCCTCTGTTGTACCCGGCATCCCACCTTTCTGGAACCACGGGGCTACTTCAGGAGGCAGCCTGCATGGTCTAGTTGGCATCTGCCAGCATCTCCCTCCCTGTCTCGCCAGCCTCAGTGTGACTCCTCAGCTCCAGCTTGGCTCTTGCCAAGATGTTCCCCAGGCTTATGCCTGCCTTTTTGTGCTTCTGGGCCTTGGTCTTAGCTGGTTCCTTTCTCTGAAACACTTGTCCTTGTCCCCCGATGTCATGTGCTGCTGGGCTTTCAGGCTTCAGCTTGTTCTTCATTTACACGCTACCTTCTTCATCCTCCCTAGCACGCTTTTATGTAGACACTATTATTCCCATTTTACAGGTAGACAAACATGTGGGTATATATTATACCCATTTCTCAAATACGCAAATGTGTGTGAATGTTATACCCACTTTACAGATAGACAAATAGAATGTGCAGAGCAGAGCAAGGTTAGGAGTGTGCCTGTGATTAGGAGCGAATCCCAAAGCCTGTACTCAGAACTGCCATTCTACACTGGCTGACTCCAATGAGACGTCTGACTGACCCCACTGAGCTATTCTGTCTACTCTCAAAAGAAGAAACGTGAGGAAGCTTCGCTAAACTTTTTTTCCTGTCTTTCCTCTTGGGTCCAGGTGGAAGTGAAGCCATATGTGCTGGATGATCAGCTGTGTGATGAGTGCCAGGGCACACGCTGTGGTGGGAAGTTTGCCCCGTTCTTCTGTGCCAACGTCACCTGTCTGCAGTATTACTGCGAATACTGCTGGGCGAGCATACACTCCCGTGCCGGGCGGGAGTTCCACAAACCGCTGGTGAAGGAGGGAGGTGACCGCCCTCGTCATGTCCCTTTCCGCTGGAGCTGAGCCCAGGGCAGACCCAGCCACAAGTACTGGAGTAGATAACAAGGAGGGAAAAGAGAGGGCACTGCCTCAGGGCTTACAGTGTTCTGGAAATTTGTGCATTTGTTCTCAATTTTTAAAGAAGAAATGGGTCTTTTTATTATTATTATTATTATTTACAGTCATATTACTGAACTCAGTGTCCAGTATAATGCAGAATTGCAGAGTGTATCACGGTACTGATTTGCACTTTGATTCACACCTTTGTCTGCTTGGTACCTTAATTTCTTACACCTGATTTGTCACTCGTGACTATGCGTTGACTGCCATTCTCATCAGCGGCCATCAGGTGGATGTCTGTGATTTTTTTTGTTTGTTGTGCTGTTGTTCTGATTGTTTTTGAACTGGAGCATGCACTTATTTTCAGAAACTTAGAAAGTTGCCCCTAGGAGAAGACTTACCAAAGGTGTAATACTCGAGAGTAGGTGGCAGATGTAGCAAACACTTCACAACAATTCAGCAATCACTCATTAGTTGGGGTCATTTAGAGTAAGGATAACCCTTAATGAAAATAAGCCTTTAGTTGCTCTCTATTTTGACATGTTAAGGATACCTCATAAGCTGAATCTTTATTTTTCCTTCATGGTTGATTTTTGTTTTGCTGAGGATTTTGGTTAGATCTTTTAGTGTTATGTAAATTTATGCTGCAATAGCTTTTGCTGCTATTACAATGGTATTATTAATACCATAATACTCTATTCAGGCTAAGGTATCAATTAAAAAAAAAACCCAACAACACACTTTTATGATTTAGGGATAGAATCAGCTGCCGAACAGAGATCAGAGTAGACTTCAGAAAGCTTCAATGGAAGGTCACTATTTCTGACTGCATGTTTACTTAATCAGGTTGCTGCATGCAATAAATTTTATATCCAATGTCTAGTATAAAACCTTCCCACAATGCACAAATTAAGAATCTATATAAGCTATAAAATACTGATTTTTTAAAGATTTTTTTCATTCAAAGAATTGGTAATTGACTGGAGGAAGGCATGCCTCAATAAATGGAATGCTTCTGAAATTAGGAAGAGCCCATAACAGAACGACCTATATTACAACCAATATAAAACCTAGGTGTAGGATATTCTTAAAGCAAATTTGTGGATGGTAGATGAAGTACTTTGCGGTGCTCTGTTATATATTGTGCAATTTATTTTATATAGTAAAGTGATTATGTCTAACTGTGATCAAACTTAACTGTTTAAAGCCTTTGTGTCAGACATTAACGAACTTGACAGTTCATAACTGGTATATTATTAACTAACACATGAGCTCTTAGTTACAATCTCCTAGTGCTTGCACCATTTTACATAGCTTCAGACCTTGTCCAGAAAACCAAAGAGCTCATCTTAGCTTACAAACACTAGGAATATATACAGTATATAGAGATAAGTTGTCAGATTGACAAACTAGGCACATTTTAAGAAAGTTGTGTGATGGTGATGCTAAAGAAATGTCTCTACAAAATGGGAGGGCCTGGGCAGGGTTGGTCGTCTGGGTGAGAAATTAACTACTTAATTCCCTGGATTTTTCCTGTAAAGCTTGAATAGAATTAAGACCTGCTAGAACTACCATGGACATTTTTTTAGCATTCACTCGTGGGCTGCAGATAGTAATATATAAACACACACAATGATTGTGAGACTATGTAATTCTTTTTTTTTTTAAATCTTCTTCCTATGTTTTGGAATTCTGGGGACAATCTGACTGGATATGACACTGCAGAATAGATTTAAGTCGCTGTGTTTTATGTGCTGTGATGTCCTTGTACTGTCTTAAGTTAATATTGCTTGTTTTGGTTTGGTTTGGTTTCTCAAGTGTTTAGTTGCAATTACCAACTCTCAAACTATAGTTTGTTTTCAAAAAAAAAACAAAATAGTTTTTTACTGGATTAAAAATGCTTGTTAGAACGCTCCCCTTTTGCAGTCATGTCTGGGCTTTCTGCTTTTTTCCCAGCCCAGCTGTGGTTTTCTGTTTGTTTTGTTTTTGTTTTTTTTTTCTATGTTTGTGGTTTTTTCATCTGTACAAGAAATTTTGTTATGCACTACTACTTTTTGTATTCTAGAAAGTTTTCAAAAGTTGGCCGAAGATTTGTTTGTTTGTTTTTAAGGAAAAAGGCATGCTTTCTGACTGACATGATCTTTTGCAATACCTCAATTTTGAAATATAGGAAAGAAAATGATATTTTCTAAGTAAGTTTATTCAGAAAAATATATATTAATTTAATTCTGCAAGAAAAATGATTTAACAGATGGGTAACTTTATTTTTTTCATGCTTATTTGTGTTTTTTGAAAATGAAGAAGTTAGAGCTTTATAACTATAATATTAAAGATCATATCTAACCTACAGAAATCTACCTAATTATGTGAAAGAAGCAAAACTTTTTGAAGAAGCACCCCTCTTTCATGTACTAAAATAACAGAGATTTGAAGAAAAAAAAAAGCTGGAAGATGGTACAGCATAAAGCTAAAAGTGAAGGCGAAAAAACATTGTCATGAAGAATAGGTTACAATAATAAACTCCATTTGGTGCTGAAAGTTGTGAATAGATGGTGGAAACTACTTTCCCTTAATTTGTATATTTATAATCAAGCGCTGATTGTGCACGACTGACCAGGATTGTGGAAGAGTTCTTCTGTTTGTATTTTTTTAAAGAGAACTTTTTTAGTTTATTAAATTATAACATGTTCCCTTTTGTTTTGTAAATAAATGTGCCCCAAGTTGTTAATGTTATATTAAAAGAGAGGGTCCTTCAAAAAAATTATTTTTTAAAACACAGAGGTGTTCTGACCTGCAACTTGGCTGGGAGCCCCTGGGTATCACAGGTCCTGCTGTGGCCTTTCCTTGACGTGACACTTGAACTAGTCGATTTTTTGAAGGCTATAACCTAACCTCGACTCTTTGTTGTTATGTGCAATACTGTTTGTACTGTTTGTATAAAAAATAGAAAAAAAAAGAAAAGAAAAAAGGCATAAATCTTTATTGCAGATTTATTTTCATTGCAAACTTTAGACATTGTGATTCACTGAAATCATTTTTCTACTGTCAAATATGTACCTTTTCTTCATGCTGGTATTTTTTCAATAGTAATGTAGCCTTTGTACTGAGACAAATTTTCATTGTTATTTTTAGAAAGATTTTTTGCTAAGAAAAAAATTAAACATATTTACATATTTTTCATTTTATTTCGTATTTTCTTTAAGGAGTGCTTTCTCAATCATTAATAGAGTTGTTTCTGGGAGGGACTTTCATATCTGGTCAATGTCATAATATTATTTTGTATTTTTACTTGGAATAAATTAATTTTATGATGCTAATTCTTTAAAAGTTTATTTTTTTCATTTTCAGTTATTTTTGAAGCTAAAACCTTTGTAATATTGTTACTAAAGTGTCTAGTTTTTTGAAATGCAAAGCTTTATGTATTAACTTGCTGATGTGGTTTACAATAGTGTGACAACGATGAAAATGGTTGGTTATGTAACGTGATTGGAAAATGTAATGAATAATTGGGTAATAAAATGACAGAATGAGCAGAACATGTGAGATTTTGACAAGCCTTTTCCTTTATTACAGTGGTTTAGTGTAAGACTAGGGATGTCACAGTACAGTTCTCTAGGGATGTCACAGTGGATTTATACAACACCAGGTGCAGCCAAATCTGTGGCCCTGATAATGAAGTCACCCCTACTGAAACACCTCCAGGTTTAAAACCTGGCCAGGTCAACAGAATGATACATTGCTTTTCCCCTCTTACTCTTCATTATGTCGTGTGCGCGCATGCGTGTGAGTGTGTGTGTGTGAATCTGCCTCCAACTGCTGTCCATGTGTGAGGGGTGCCTGTCACCTAAGCCATGCACTTACGGTGGTGACGTCTGAGAGTCCAAGAAGGTTGCTGGAAGGACACAACTTTCTGTGTGATTAGACTTGGGTTGCAATGTCCCTCGTGTCCCTTCCCTGTACGGCTCATGAGGTGTGCTGAGGAAGCACACTCAGACGTCACCATGGTATATGGCCGACCTGGGACTTTGTCTTCCTCCACCCACCTGCTCCCTGTTTCGGTGCCCCTCGTTTGCCCCTGACTGTGGCAGCACATCCGGCCACTCCAAGCATGATCTGTCTCCCTCCTGCTTCTCTTCCAACACCCACCTCACCCAAAGCTGTGCTGTTAAGGCAGCGTGTCATTGTAATGGCACCTAAAATTTTTTTTAAATCATACAATTGCAAAACTGGTGTTGCGTAAACAGAACATCCAATGACTTGCTCTAGATAGATGGTATGTTTCTGCTAGTCTTTGGTGGCCTCTCCCATTGCGTTGCTGTGGAGGTGAGGTTATCAAAAACTCAGCGAGACATGTGTCCAGAGTTGGCTTTGGGTATGCTCTATGTATTCAGTTTTGTAAATAATATATAGATTAGATCAAGTTGTGATGTAAAATTTTAACTCGAATTGGGTACTCCTGGTTGGAATTTTACATTAACTACAAATAAGTGATTAGGAACAGAAGAAAAGAAATTGGAAAATTCTTGCTTAGTGGTATAAAGATTATGCTTAGATTTCTGCCTATATCTTGTGTTTTATAGCTTGTTAGTGAGGCATGGGCTAACGCAGAATGTACTGCATTTATGCAATTAGCAAATAACTGCTAGTTTTCATTTATCTATTATATTAGCAACAAAAAGGCATTTAACTGGGTAAAGCTCCTACCTAAATATTTGAGTATTGTGACATCTCTACTTGCAAGGTTTGAGTGAAAGATTAGTAGTCACAGATTAGTGAAAAAAGTATCTTTTTGTTAAAACTGGCTTATTTGTATGGACTGTTGCTTTTTCACCAGTTTGTATGGTATGTCAGCTAACTTTTTCTGTTTGTTCTTTTTTTTTTAAATAACCAAATTTCTCTATCTCAGCTGCAATAGTGTTCCATTTTACCACAGAGTATTTTATAACTAATGTTGTTGACTTTATACCCCAAAATGGGTCAAGACGTGGACATGTGATTGGGGGAGGTTTCAATTTGTTTGACGAAGCTAATGATAACAAGTAGAAAACTCGGGTGCTAATACAGGATAACTTCTGCTCTGTCTTTTCCGGATGTAGTTCTGTTGGGGTATAAAGTGTTAGGTATTTGTACTTTTGCTGTCAAAATAATGGACCTAACTTTTAGAGTGTTCACAGCTAAGATCTCTGTATTTGTTTTTCAACTAACAACTAATTTTAAATGTATTGTATCTTTTATTACCTGTTCTCTTAGATTGTTTTTGCTAGTAACCTTTATTCAGCTTTCGCCGTTGGGCTTGGACTAATAGTGCTTGTATGGAACTGCAGTGCTGTGACTCACCATGGAGCTCAATGCAGCTATTGCTTACAACTGCTTCAACTTTGTAGTTTGGACTTCTTTTTTTCTGTAATAACAACTTATTAAATCTAGTTGTATGAAGTACGGACACTTGTCATCCTTTGCATTTGCTGAGGAGTAGCTTGAAGGATAAGAATCGCACCTGGGAAACATTCACACATTCCACCTCGCTGGGTTAGTTGTGGGGAGGGGGGAACTCCCCTTAGAGCAGATTAAGCACCTAAAACTCACCTTTTCTCTGACACAACACATTAAAAAAGAGCAAAACAACGAGAAACCGGAAGGTGTCGGATAGTTGACACAGGGTGAGCGTGTATTCAATGCAGGTGCGTAGAAGCGCGCGTGGTTTTTAAAGCCAGCACCGCCGCGTGAAACCAATTTCCAACATTAAAACCGAGGGGCCACGAAAAGGTAAGTGTGTTCGCTTCGTTTCACTTGTACACGAGGTTCTCTGCAGCCAACTCAGGAAGTGGGTCTTCGAAATCCCGGGTAGACTTTGGAAATGCTAACTTTTAGGCAAAGACCCCGAGCGGCTGCACGAAAGAATCCCTGGGGGCTCTCAGCTGCTGGCGCTGCCCGCGCCCAGCCGAGCTCGATTCCATTGTTTGGGGCGGGCCTGGCGCAGGTGTTTCCAGGCTCCCGGGGCGCTTATCAGCAGCGCGCGGCGTGCGCGGCCCGCGCCGCGCTGGGCCCGCAGGGAAGCTCAGCTGCCTGGGGGCGGCGGCCGCAGAGGGGGGCCCAAGCCCCCCGAGCCCGACCTTGCAGCAGACAGGCCGGCGCGGGCCGGCACGGTCCTGGGAAGGGTGAGGGTCCGGCTGGGGTCGACCCCGCGCCGGGCCCCGCGTCCAGCCGAGGCCGACGAACGCCAGGTTTCGCGCCGGCTCTTGGTCGCGGACTCCCTTGCAGGCCGTCTCCCCACTGCGTCGGCTTTGCACCCCACCCTACAGCCGGCACCCAGTTCTGGATCCTGCGTCTGCCCCCTCCCTCGCTGGCGCGACCGCACCCCGCCGCAGCCCTGCAGGTAAGCCCGCCCGACGGGGCGCCGCGCCCACTCGGCCGAGGGGCAGCTCGGGTGACTCGGGGGCTCCGTGACAGGTCTTGGGGAGCTGCGGTCCCTGCGCAGCTTGCCCCTGCGGCCTGACGGGCGCGCCGAGACATGCGTCCCAGCTCAGCCGCTGGCCCGGAGAATAGCTCTCGGCTTCGGCAGCTTTCTCGCCACGCTCCGCAACTCCTTCCACCAGGGGGAGAGTCGTGTTTCCAGGTGCCCTTTCAATCACATGTGTCTTTTTACCTGACAAGAGAGAACAAATCTTTAAAAGGACATACTACACTAAAGTGCCAGCGGAATCCTCACTTCAAAATACTTGTGACTTGAGCCCCGATTCGTCCCCTGGGGGTTTCCTGCCTCACTCGGCGTGACTAGGGGGAGGGGTGTGGTGCCCTTGCTCTAGCAGCCTGTTTTCCAGGGGTGAAAAGGGGGCGTCCTGGCCCAGAGGAGCCGCAGCAGCCCCCTTCCTGGATACTCTCCCCGGCTGCAGGGCACAGGCCTGTTGCCTCTGGTACCTGCTTCACAGCACACAGGCCGACACCTGCGAACACCCGTGCACGCAGGCCGACACCTGCGAACACCCGTGCACGCAGGCTAAAGTGGAGACAGGTGGTTTCAGCAGCCCCGCGGCGCCCAGCTCACTTGGACACTTAAGCGTCCTGCATTGCACTGGAGCGGTCCGAACTAGGGCAGTGGCGCCAGGGAAGGGAGCCCGAGTCGCGGGTCACGCTCTTACTCGAGGGTTGTTGGGGAGAACTGCTCCCCGAGTGCAGACACTGGTGAGGGGCTCCTACAAGGGGAGTCTTTTTAACGGACAGAAGATAAAGACTTACT